TGGAATATGCAGCATGAGAACACAAAAAGTCTAGAACTTACCATGCATGGGTTTTCTTTCTCTTTTGGATTGCTTATTTAACAGTATTTGTGCTCATTTTATTGACTGATTGATTTTATATATTTATGTACTCATTTTTGATGGAGCAGATAGTAACCTTAGAAGATGTGGTTGAGGAGATTGTTGGAGAAATCTTTGATGAAAATGATTCAAAGGTAGGCCTAATTACATCATTAATAACCTTAATGTTCTATTATTGAATCTGTTATTGGACGCAAGTCTTTTAATTATATAGATAACTTTAGATATTGCATTTTATTATTCCTCAGCAAGGAGATTCTAAGAAAAATTGTTGATGAAGTTCAAAACAAATTGGTATTGTACATGTGCTGCCAATTTTCTACAGATCAATTGATCTTAGATTCTGTTTATTTCCGGTTTCTGGTCTCTTTTAGTCTGTCATGTATTTTGTCTGCATTTTCCATGTGACCAAAAAATTTCATGTCACTTCTCATTTCATGTAGATATTTCTTTACTCTATAGGTCTCATATCAATTAGCATTGCAAGGTTGAGCTCTGCCTGATTCTTAAGTGATATGTGTTATATATATATATACAATGATTCTCCAGTGATACTTATTAGATGTATTTGCTGCTAATCATATTAACAGGAGGAGATCCAGAAGAAAATTGGCTTTATTGTAATGAGAGCAGAGGGAGTATATGATGTTGAGGCCAATTCATCTATTTATTTGCCATCTGAGGACTTGAATACCAAAATGCCAGAGGTATATAATTCCACCCTATTACTGGTTTTTGGTGTTACGGTGTATAGAGCACCGAATGGAGTATTTGAACTTTAAAGCTAAAAACTCAGTTATTAAGAACGTTTCTACGTTTGATTATTTCTGTATTGTACACTTCTCCTGCCATTTCCACAGGCTTATTAAAATTTAATTTCTGTCACAGTTGATCATAGGAATCTTAAAAACAGGCATGCTTATACACTTGATATTTTTTATCGCAGTTGCAAGGGAAATTCTGTTTATTGTGACTATTGTGGGATTATTATGCCTTAAAGATTAAGTGAACACTGCTTGAAAAAGAATGAAAAACTGAAAAAAAAAAAAAACGAAAAAGAAAAAGGGGAGGATAAAGTAAATAGTTAAAAGCGGAATGTGGTATTGAATTCATTTTGAAGTAGAGGCTCAGTTAGCCTCACATTGTAAATAACTATCAAAGTGTCCTTAACTTTTAAATTTCATATCTCTATTCATCATTTCTTTGTTCATCATGCTGTTCTATAGGAACATCAGTATGAGACAGTATCTGGTTTTTTATGCAAAGGATTTGGATACATCCCTAAAGCTAGTGAGAGCATCAAAGTTGTCCTCGAAAGGGATAATCAAGATGATGATGATGATGATAAGCATGATGAAGATGGATCCAATCATCAAGATGTGAAGGTATCAAATATATAGACTTGAGGTAGGGTAAAAGCACTGAATGGATTTCAGTGCAAAAAAACTAGGAAAGAAAAAGCATGTAGCGAGCAATCATGCAGTCTCTTCCATGTGTAACTTTCTGAAATGAATGCTATTATGAGGGCATGCATTTGTTCATGGAGGAATCTGCTTTTATATTGCTCATCCTATTAGATGATTCATTTGGTGGCTCAGTTTGCTAAATTAAACTTAGCAACTGATAATAATAACTCACATGCTCCATTTTTGTATAACATTCAAGTTTAAACATTTTTTCTAGAAAATAAATTATACATGTGATAACTATATAGGCTAATGAGACTAAATCTCGAGCATCCAATTGAATAACTGATTAATGTGAGGGAAATGTTGTCCCTGGTGCAGGTATTAGCTGCAAATGCCTGAAAGGTTAGTGCT